AGTGGAGAAGTCGTCCAAACTTCATAGCCGCCAAAAATTGGATAATTGCATTACTTGGTTTTATAATGCTTGTCAACTTCGATTCTCAACTATTTCAATTTCCTACTCCAAATGAATGAGATTATGATTATCTCATTGTTAGTGCTTCCATAACAACTTTATTGCTAAACATGACAAAGTTAAACGAATTCGAGCCACGAGGAATCCATCATTCTACTTAGTTTTTCAAATTCATGAATTTCTCTATATATATGTAATTTAATAATTGATTTAGTTTTTAAATTTTTAAGCTTGCTAACAAATTTGAACTGTTTAAATTGTGGTAAACATTCTTGAAATAGGAGTAAACAAGTTTTGGAATTCCAAAATAAGATTGTAAAGTTTTTCTTCCCAAAATAGGAGTAACATTATAATATTTATATTGCCATATTGGAGTCATTATAGCTAAAATAGTTGTGATATTAGCATTAATATGACAATATTTATTGTCATTATTAATGTCATTATTTTTAACTCATGGCAGAGATCACTTTTATTTTTTAGAGAAAAACATAACACACATATTTTAAAATTTCAAAACTTGTTTAATCCTATCTCGGACAATATCCCTCAAATTAGCCTTAAATTATATGTACATTTTTGTTTATATGTACTAATTATATATGTTCACAAGTGTAATACACAAATATATTCATATAAATATATTGAATCACAATTATAATTGACCAATTTCTCATAGAATGTTGATCTCTAGTTTTAGATCAAACACATACAACCTAGACAATTTGAAAGAGTTCAAAAGTTGAAGTTGTCGTACAAGATTACAAATGAACATATACATAAGTTATGACACTAAATTTACATTAATTATCTCGCAAAAGTTATTAGTGGTTTTTTTTTAAGTTACTTGACTGGAAATAAATATATTGTTATTTTAGTCTTGTTCTTAAATATTGTTACTATTGTAATATCGTATTAAAGAAACTCTATTTTTTATGAGACAACAATAGTTTTGTATGGTGATTGTGTGGATGGTAATTGTGGGGGTGTCATTTTATTATTTATATTCTTCCACACCCTTCATTCTTTTTTTCAATCTCATTCCCTTCATTCTTCTACCTCTATGCTTTTCAACGACTTGTGTCACCTGAAAATTTGAAGTGTTTCATCCTTTTTTTCACAATACTACACTTATTTCCTTATAGTTGTTTCTAACTTTGTGTTGATTTATTTGGATATGTGCTTATAAGCACTGATCTTTAATACGGTTTATTACACTTTTGCATTACTTTTAAAAGTTTAAATTCTCATCATGTGTTAAATAAATTATTATTATATTCAGCGTTTTATTAAATTAGAAAAAAAACACAATTCTCTGCAATATACTATCGTATATAGAAGACCATTATTTGTATTTAGTGTACCCTAATCATACATGTAGAATACAATGACCATGTTTTAGTTATAAAAACACACATGTCACAATAAAATTGTGAGGAGAATGCTGCTACAACACAATTACTACAATAGTAATAATATATAATTGCCGCACAATTACCATAAATACTAAAATAAAAGTAAATTTTTGTGCATTTTACAGTAAATCAATGACTAATAAATGAAATTATACTATAGCTGCCATACGATAATGATACATTCAATACACAATTATGATATGGTGATGATAAATTTGTAACACAATTATCATAAACAATTATCAAATAAAAAAACTTCACTATAATTTAAGAAAATCAATGACTAGAATTTAAAAATATAATTACACTATAATTACCATACAATTACGACACATAATTACCACGCATGCATGAAAAATGAACATACAACTAGGGATTTCTCTCTCCATGATGACAACTAAACTCAGAATCTCACTCCATAGAAATTAAATATATTTTAGAGGGTGTTGTAGATGAAATCTTTGAAGTAGGGTTGTGTTGGCATGCATGAATCTCTTTGTTTGAAATGGCCTATTGAGAGCACTTACATTTTTTTCTAAATCCAAATCCGTAACATATACTGTTTCATATTTTTGTGAAATTCTTTATCTAGATAAAATCATTTTTTGTTTCAATTTTTGTCGGCGTAGAGTCGTAGACCGATGTATAGGTTCACTAGCTCATTATACATAATACATTTATCCTAAGTTGCTAATATCGGTATACTTTTTTGCTTAGCTAGTTCACTGCCCGCACTCGGCTTGATTAGCTACTTTTTTACTTAATTAGCTAGTCCTTAATTAGTTGTATTTTAAACTCTTTAATATGGTTGTCAAATTGGAAATTTGGAAGCTTATTTATCAATGGAGATGAAAAAGATATTTCAAATTCATAGACTACGACAATAATTTATTTGGTATTAAAGTTGTCGCTGCGGGCTATGTATAGTAGTACAATGTGATTACTGAATTCTAATTTTGTGAATTTGTGTGCTTTTAAATTCTTTTACTAGAATTGTATGATTTTTAACTAACTGAGTATATTAAAAAAAGACTAACTTGACTTTTATACTTTTCCTTTTTGTTTTTTCAAAATTAAAAAATTCATATCAATACGTTATATATACTTGTATTAAGTTATGTAAATATATTTTTAATTATTTAAATTTATTATTATTCATGATTTTAAGATGAACACAAATCAAATCACAAAAATATTACTGTACATACAAACTACTACGTATAACTGAAATTGTTCTAACCAATCTGAAAAATTAATATAAAATGATACTCTCACTAATCGATGAATTAACCAGCTGATACATTATTTTTGTAAGAAGCTGCTAAAGTAATACTATGCAGTAATTTAAGCACTAATATGTTTTGCTTAATATATTACTCCCTCCGTCCCCTTTTAAATGTCCCGAAAGAGGGTGACACGAGTTTTAAGAAAATTGAGTTTGTGTGGTTGATATTAATTGATAAAGTAAGAATAAAGTAAGAATAAAGTAAGAACGATTTTGAACGACACAAACTTTACCAAATAAGGTATGAGACGATTAAATAGAGACATCCCAATATGGTAAAATGGGACATCTAAATGGGGACGGAGGGAGTACTTCCTTGTATTTGTTACCAAGAAAACATGCATTGACCTCTTTTCTACGTAGTTTTTTGCGGTGCTTTCATTTTTCTAGTTATATTTCATATGTTTTACACTATAACTTGATTAGTTATAAACAATAATACTAGTTTTAATTTTCCACAGGAAAAGTCAAAAGTTTTTTTGTATAGATGAAATTTTGCATTATATTACAAGTATAATTAGTACTAGTTTCTCAAATTCAAACTAGAAAGAAATGGGAATTGAAAATACGAAACAGAAATATGATTTTTTTCCAAACTAGTAGTACTAATGAAAGTAGAATTGTATAAAAAGTTGAAACTTCAATCTTTTTTTATAAAAGATAAAGAATATGAAAAATTTATGAGTATGATGATAGTTAGGGATATAACTTATAAGTAGCTAGTATTAAACTAATAATATCTAAACACAAATCACTAGTACTCCGTAGTTTACATACTAATAAGAGCCCGTTTGGTGACTCTGTTTTTCGGCTTATTAGTCTTATCGACCAACTTTTTAACCAAATACATAACTTTTGATTTCGCGGATTGAAATGTTGTGTAATAATAAGAAAAAATAAGGTTGAAGTTACTTTTCTGACTGTATTGATTGAAGTTAATGTAGATGACCTTTTTAGCTTTGAAGTTAATTCTTTCTATATTTCATAAACAAAGTATATTTTAAAAATAATTTTTCATAAATCATTAGAATCAACCAATACAGTCAATTCATCCAAGACTTCATAAATTTCAGCATAATCAACCAGATCAATTCAAGCATTTTAGTGTTACCAGACTCTAAAATGAATTAGTGTTGTTGATCCTCAAAATTAAATGCAATATGATCGAGAGACAGTTGGTAAGGAATTAAGTAAAAAGTGATTGAATTTTATCACTCTTCATAAAATGGTAAAAGGGAAAATCAATAGTAGATCCAAGGGTCCAACATGAAACAGATGATTATGTATGACAAAAAAGTCTAGAATGATTACTTTGGTAGACATGCATATGTCACCATTGAACAATACTCGTGAGCTTAGAATTATTATTGAGACGTTAAAGCAAGTTTGGATTTCATATAATATCACAATTCAAAATCCCATCTCTCTCTATCTCTAAACACAAAAATAAAATAATTGTGTTTTCAAAAATAAAATAATTAATTAGTAATAAAATTAATTCGGTCTGGCTTGGAAGTATGCAGCTTTGTAGTTAGCATCACAAATTCTACATACCAAAAGAAAGAAGGAAATGAAAAGCATGACATACACTTCAGCCGAAAGGACCAAACTCACGAGATCAACCAAGCCAGATAATTTTTTAGAAAAAGTTAAATATGTAATAGTTCTCTTTTTTGAAATTTAAATTGTTTTTTATTGAAAAAATGGCAGTTTATTTGTTTATGTCATGCTTGCTTCACGCAAGCTGCTACTTGGGGTGGGGGTGGGGTGGGGGTTAATTGCTTCTTCGCGTGATTTTAAAGGCTTCAAGATCATCCCCGGTGTTTAATTTAATTTAAAACGCATTCACACTTCACTCCAAATTTTCACAAAAAAAAACAGTTTTTTTGAAAATACAAAAAAAATTAAAAACATTTTCAAAAGTTAAAAAAAAACAGCCCACAAATCCAAAATCTTCAAACACACAAACAAACAAACCCTGTCTGGCAAGAAACTCATGTTCCATCCAGCCTTAAATTCTCACTCCCCTCGTTTCTTTCATTTCTCATCATGATCAGAAACCCTAATTTATAAAGTAATCATGCCAGATGATATGTATTGATCCTATCTGGCCATCTATATATATAAACAGACACCCTTCCCTTATTAGTTAAATAATAATTTCCTAAGAATAAAACGTAACGTACAATTCAAAAAGCTAGCTGATCCTCAACACCATGAGCTCGACTAGTCCTACTTCAAGCACGGTGGCGGCCAGTGGCGGAAGCGGTGGTGGACCGTGCGGGGCGTGCAAGTTCTTGAGGAGGAAGTGCGTGCCTGGGTGCATCTTCGCCCCGCACTTCGATTCGGAGCAGGGCGCCGCTCATTTCGCGGCGGTGCATAAGATTTTTGGCGCCAGCAATGTCTCCAAGCTCCTCCTCCACATTCCGGTGCACAAGCGCCCCGAGGCTGTCATCACCATATGCTACGAGGCTCAAGCCCGCCTTCGCGACCCCATCTACGGTTGTGTTGCGCAAATCTTTAACATGCAACAACAGGTACATTCTTATATACCAGAAGTATTAAGTTATCTCACACCGGTCAAGTATCTAAATATAGATCAACTTATAAATTAAATGGTTTGGTGTACTCATTCTATATATCACCTCTCTTTCTCAAAAGTTTGGTGTTATAACACTTAATTTTGTTTCACTACTATTGGATTCTAAGAATAGGTAATGAATTGGAATCCAAACACATGATCCAAACAGTGCCTTTTCATCATAGTTGGTAAATTGATTAAAACCTCATCTTCCGTTGCAAACTTTGCTTTCTTCCTCTTTTAGGCCCTTTCCATCTCATTTCTCCATTTTACCGATGCATTGAAGTGTTTCTTCTTCTTAGTAAAAAAGGTTGAAGAGGAGATTTCATACTACGAGACTTGGAAATACAATTTCATTTCTAAACATACCTTTTTGTAGAAATTAAATGAATCGGTGTATAAGAAATGGAAAATCTCATTCATATATATGTCTTTTATGATTAAAAGAAACGAGATCCAAAATAAATCTCATGACCCATATACTCCATCCATCATGAAAATATTTTTTTTTCTTTTTTGTATTGTTTTTGTATTTCTTAAAAGAATTATCAAGCCTATTTTTTTAAAATAACAGTAATAAAGTAACCCATCTGACCTAAATTAATTTGAAATTTTAGTTTTCAATTCGTGGTTAAAGCATATACGAAGTATGTTCTTTTTGCACTCTGATTATGAAAATTGTTTTTTAGCATATTGGAATATAGATTTTGAGTTTCAATATACTGAAACTTATATGTAGAAAAGTTTTTAATATATAAATAGAAAAAATTTCACACATATTAGGACGGATGAAGTATGTTAAAATGAAGTTTTCTAAGGTAGCCCTTTAGTCATTTTGAGAACATACAACTAAATAGTAAAGGTTACCTAAGAATATTTCTCAAATTTTAACCATATCATAACAAGTTAATTAACATGATATATTCGATTGAATTATAAAAGTATATTGGAAGTGTTTATAATTGATAGCTTATTAAAATTATGCAAATTTTACTAAAATTTTAGAGTTATACCAAGCTAGTGGTTTATTATAGTTGCAAAAGACTTTTCTTAAAATGTGGTGGTATGTATAATTATACCGAATTTATATATGTTGTAGTGCTGTATATATGTGTGGTTAGTCAGATCTGGTACTTGTTGTTGTCAAGATTACATTAATCTCTTAATTAATTAAGGTCGGGATTTGAGTACATTTTAAGATTTACTTATTATTGAGTTGGCCAATGATCTTTCTTCTTCAGTTAATTACTTTTCACTTTGTTTCAAGAGAACAATTAACCTTTATTCTATCCTGATTTTACCTATCTGATCTTAAGAATCAAAATCCAATATGTTTTCAAAAAAGTAAATTATGTAACATCAATTCAAAGTTCAATTCAAAGGTATATTACGTATTAGAAGCATTAATTAAGAGGTTAGGAGGCTGAAACATAATCATTTAGGAAACCGTTGAAACCTATACTATGCATGGTGAAATCATGAAAATATGAAATAACTCATCTTTTTGTTAAGAAATGTGCAAAAAATTATATGATTATGTATTATTTATTGTGTTTAAAAATTGAATCTGCAAACAATTAATGGTTTATATAATCTGCGCCACGCTGAGTCAGCATCAAGATTATTTCAGTAATGGTGATGATTCAGCACAAAATGTGCACGATATGTGAAATTACTAGTTTATCCTAAAATTATATACAGAGTATAAGTATATAAATAAAAATATACTCCGTATCACCGTAATTTTAAGCTTCGTGTAAATTATAATTTCTCTATTTATTTATCGTGTCATCGTCTCAAAAAAAAATATAACTAGTAGCAGGTTTTATGGAAATCTTTTGTCATCCTTTCATTTTCCCCCCAATTCTTTCAAAGTAGAGTTCGACTTTCAAATAATATTACGACGTCCTCATATATAAAATCAAAATTTATATTCTTAACGTTGCAAAACTTATAAGTTTGGTACATGTGATGAGGCGGTGAGACCCGAATTGAACTTAAATTATTTGTATTGCCATAAAATGGGTGATGAAATTTACTTGAGTCAGTTAATTTGTTTTTGTTTTTATTTTTATTTTTATTTTTATTGAGTTTCAATGTTTTTTTTGCTCTTGTTAATTTTAGAGACTTTAATTGACGTTCAAAGATTATATTAGAAACAATCGCATGTAATATATGATGAGATCAGTTTCAATCAGTTACTATTGGTTTGGGCCTATTAGATTAATTAGATCAGTTTCTAGTTTACAGACGCAACGCGATTTGGTGATTTTTATTGGTTCAATTTAAATTTTAAAATGAGTTCTTACAATGCACAAAAAGTTTTGCTTAAACATATTGTGTATTTGCTTGTGATTTAGTAGCCATTCTATTTAGTTGGGTTAAACAAAATCTAATTAACTTCTATAAACAATTAAAGATCATTGACTTGTAAAATTTTCCTAAATGCAATTGAATTAATGCATCTCATTCAACTCAATCTAGAACATTAAAGACATACTACTTGATCGAACCCGTTAGATCCTTTTCTAGTTTATAGATGTGATTTGGTGATATTTCTTGGTCCACTGTAATTTAAATTCTAAAACACAAAAGTTGGGCTTAAATATGTGTATTTTTGGTAGTCATTCTATTTAATTGGGTTAAACAACATTTATTTAACTGTATAAAAAACATTTATTTAACTGTTTTTTAATAAAAAAATATACTATGATAAAAAAAAAGATAAAAAAAAATTAAAAAAAAATAAAAAAATATACTAAAATGTCAATGTACTAGTAACTATTATTGTCAAATGTACACTTCCAAATCCAAGCACGTCGCAAGCCTTAAATCAGACGCACGGACCCGTACGACCACCTGAGAATTAATTTGAATCGTTGACCAAAAAACTTAATGCATTTTTTTGAATCGTTGACCATGTTAAAGTTCGCATTTATCATTTCGATCTCCTTCCTCTTAATCAATGCTAAACTTCCTTCAACAAACTTAATGCTCCCCCGTCTTTCAAAAAAAAGTTTGTCAAATTAACTTTTTTAATCAATGATAATTAACTTTCATCAATGATATTTTTTAATACAAAATTATTTTTAAGTATGAAAATTATATCAAAATGTTTTTTTGCTTGAAAAAAAAGGAATATATTAAACTCATTGAAACAAACATCCAAACATTTAGCCTTCCAACTACTCAGATCCTCCCTCTAGACTCCTTATAGTCAATAGGCCCCTTCACTATCTGATCTTATATAGAATAGATTGCCCAATAATGAGCAAGACAATTCGCTGAACATGCGAGAGATTCAAAGCTACTATCGTCCAAAATAGTCAGATTATTTACTCCCAATCTAATAACTAAAATCACAAAGTAAAAATTAAACTGGAAATGCTGAACGAAAAAACAGCAAACGAAACAAGCAAAAATAACTAAAAGAAGCATCCAAACCCTAGCCACTCGTTTCTTCTCTAGCAGCGGTTTAGGAGGGGGACGAACCAATAACACTCCACCCTCTTCCTTCACAGACCATAGACCCACTGTTGTCCGTGGCTTCATCTTCTTCCTCCATTTCCATCCTTCCATAAACTTGGGCCACAATCTCTATCTCCTCCCGCCTCTTGCCTTCCATCGCTGCCCTCTTGCGTGTTGTTGTTGTCACCTGAAGATCCCTCCGACTAGAGCTGTACGACGTTGTTGCGTTGCTCGAAGAAACCATCGTACCAAAATCTATGGACGAATCACCGCCAATAAACCCTAGGCAGAAGTATGCGGGTGTCCACACCAATTTCTTATACAAATTGTTTTCATAAAGTATAAAATTTATAAATAAATCATATACAAATATAACAATTAAAACAATTGTCCTAAATTTTTCATCATTGATCAAGAAAAGTCAATAGAGCAAATCTTTTCGAGATGAAGACGGATGTAGTATGACTACTCCACCTTATCCCCATAAACTCCACCATACCCAATCAGTCCATTCCATTGCTCAAACCTTGAAGACCATACAGTCATACTCCACCCGTTGAAGCCTAAGATTAATTTGAGGAGATTGAATATATTCCTAGTGAAATAATGATTCCACGAAGTCCGAACTCGAATCTCACCGCATACAAATATTTTCTACAGCATTCGCCAAAATCCCATTTTTTGTATAACATCTTTCACTTCTAACACTAAATGGTGTTTCATTCCAAAATGTCAACTTATATTTGCTTTCTTATTGGTTCCTTTAGAAGAACTTATAGGCATGCATTAACGAAGGAGATCTAGATAAATGAAGCTAGGCTAGATCTTATTGATTGTTGTAAGCCTTATTAATGAGTTTACGTGCATCCAAACATAGAAGTCCTTCAAATTACATAGATGGCCGATCAAACTAATGTTTTTGCACAAGTATTAGTTATAAGCTTTCACATAAACACTATCATATCGCACAAACACGATTATTCTATAACCTAATTTGGCTAATAATGTTTTCCGTTATCCAGTTCAACCCGATGTGTAAGAATAGTATAAGCCAAATCTGTACAAATCATTTTCCTTAGATTCATAATACTATCCGGAAAAAGACACAAAGCATTACCTAGAACTTTGTTAAATAATACTACGTACAAAAAAGTGACTAATTTTTTTAAAAAATATGACTAACCTCTTGTTTAATTAATCATTTTTTTCTCATTGTAATTTATATCAATGGCCGTAAGAAAATTTTGATGATTCTTTTCTTTTTCATTTTTTTAAAGTTCGCCGGAAAATTTTACGATAATTACAGTGAAACTTAGTACTATCGTATGTTTTATGACAAGAGTGATATTACCTTGTTAGTCACAATTTTATTCATATGTAAAAGGAGTGATCACTTTTTATAAAAGGGCGTCAAGTCATTTATATTTATTTATGAAAACACCTTATCATGCTACACATCTCGCAAGCAAGTTTTTCCTTGGAACACTAATTGCGGATTATCACAATCATTTGAACATTTCATTAATTGATCATGTAATGACTTATAAGATCAATATATATCTGCTATAGTTATTATATCTTGAAGTTGATACTCACACACAGTTTAACACTTGTTCATTTAATTTATGAGACAGTATCAATACGTGGGCAGTTATATAAGACCAAATTATTAAAACTCTCTTAACACTTGTTTAAGAATCTATATTTACACAGATTCTACTATCTAGGAATGTCCTTATAGGAGTCATTCTCTATGGCACTTCAAAGCTAAAACAAGGGCATCCTTTTAATTTAGTACAACATACATCTCGTAAACCTCTATTTTTAACAAAGCTAAACGGTGGTTTATCAGTAACTACTATGTACTAATCAACAAAAGACTCGATGGAGTGTTTGGAATTTACTTTGCTTCTGCTCTTTTTTAATTGCAAAAGCGGAATCATAATCGATTTTAGAAGTTGGTCTTTCCCAACTTCTAAAAAATTGCTTTTTAATTAAAGCAATTTGGAGCACGCTGAAGTACTTATGCATTTCACAAAAGCATTTAAATATATGCTTTTGTGCCTTATGATGTCTTTTTTTTATTAAAAAGTTTAACTATTGACCAAAGTATTGTACCCTAATATTTTCAAATCTTAATTTCCCGTGAAAAACTCTACACTCATTGTCTCTTCCCAATTCCCATTGAGCTCATCAATTCCCATAATTTAGCAAGTCTTATTGAATACTCCGGATCGTTTAAAACTTAAATTTGAATAAGTTCAACAACATATAAAATGGAATATAAGCCTAACCTGTAAACTTAATTAATCAGATAATAAAATTTCAATTTAAATTAAATTAGTTCATATTTGATAGGTGAGGTCTGTGTAAATAATTAATATTGGATATAACTATATAAGACATACGTAGTACGGAGTATATCATTACAAAACAATCACGAGATTGACACGGATTTGGCACGGATTTACCGATGATTTCGTGTCAAATATCTCGTGTCAAACTATTTTTGGCACAGATTTATCATATCCCTGCCAATTTTGAGAAATCGTTGTAAAAAATGCATGTCAATCCCATACACTTCGTATATTAAACGTCATAAACCTAAAACTAATGATTTGATCACCTTAAACTTATTACAAACACACTTACTTCAAGATTCGATTACTATAACTATAATGTACACCTCTCTCTAGCATAATGTTGTTAAATAACATATCAATATGTTAACTTTTTTTCTATATCAAGAGCAAATCTACATCAGAGCTAAAGTAGGTTGAAGTTTAATACAAGTATTTTAATGCAACTTTTTGCATACATTTTACAGTATTACTCCCTAGCTATTATTTAAATCTAGTATAATTAGCTTTGATCGAATGCTCTATCCTGAATAATGTATAATGTGCAGGTAGTGAATCTGCAGGCGGAGCTAGCCTACATACACGGCCAGCTAGCGGCGTTGGAGGCGGTGCCAGCTCCGCCGCCTGTGCCGATGCATCCGCCGCATCCCCAACACTCGGTGCTGATGCCGTCACCTGCCCTGAACCCTGCAGACCTCCCCACCGGCGCGTCAGTGCAGCCGTCAACTTACGACCTCTCGCCCCTCTTTGACCCCATGGCGCAGCAGGCATGGCCCACTCAGCAGCGGCAGCTGGACCCACGCCACGTGTTCGGCCACTCAGTGCCCAGGACGGCGGCGGTGGACATGCCGTCGTCTTCAGCCGGCGGAGGTGACCTTCAGGCAGTGGCGCGTGAGCTCATGAATAGGCGGAGGCTTGGTGGGAACCCGACAATGCCATTCCCGGATGCTCCATCAACTTAATTTGTAAGGAGCAATCAAGATTGAAGCTAGGAGGAATGGCCGAGTCTATTTTAGGTTTATTATTATTATTATTATTATTATTATTATTATTATTATTATTATTATTATTATTATGGACAACCTTATTTTTATATTTAATGATGTTTAAGGGCTTGCCTATTTGCAATGACTGTAGGCAAGTGAGTGGACGTTTTTTTTTTCTTTAATCGTTTTGCTTTATCATTATTAATTTAGAATTTTGGTCCGGCCTACCCTTTTCTTCTCTAATTTGGTCAACTGGTTGAATCACATTTCATTTGGCATGTTTTCAATTTGGATTGGCTTTGGTCTCAGTTTAATTAGACCAAAGTTTCTTCTCGGAATCACATTTCATTTTAGATGTTCTCATCTCATTTAGGTTGATCTTAATTGATACCCTACCAATTTAGACTAGACTAATAATTAGGTCATATTAGAACGAATTTTATCAATAATATAATAGACATACTTATATTAGATCACTTTAGAGTAAATATATAAAAAAAATCAAATGAAAACATCCTTACTTATATCAAATTATATTGCATGCTTTAATTAATATGCATTATATTGGTGAGACCATAGAAGTGTTTTGCATGGATAAAAAATACTCCGTAATTTTTAGCTTTTGAGTTTTAAAAAGTAAACAATAGTGTTTTTAAACAAGTAATTTTGCTTAAGTTAAGCACTTTAAAATAAAAACTCAAAGAGGTTGAAGAACACTTTTGATTGCTTTTCAATTTGTCTATTACACTTTACACATAAACATTAAAACTAATAATTCATCTGTCTTTCAGGTACTAAAATGATAAAATTCTTTTGTTATCTTATTACCAATTTTAATTTTTATATTCACTTTATTCTTTCCCAACACTATCAATTTTCATTATTAATTAATCACTTTCTATATAACCTCCGAAGTCAATCAAATACTCTTAGTCATAGTTAAAAGAACCTGATTTTATCAATTCCTGATTTAAAATGCAAGTTCTCTATTTAGAATCATCATACTAAAAGAAATTGGTGGGTTTTAATAAAGTATAAACTTTTATAAAAATTTGTTTACTGTAGAAAAAAGAGATTATTAACATTTTGATTTTCTTAATATGAAACATAAGATAATTTAAGGATGATTGGAAAAGAAAAGTTGAAGATTAAAAATAGACAGAACTACAGGAGCAATAGGTTAAAAATGGAATGTCATTTTTAAGTCTAATGAATAAGATAAATAAGAGCTTATCTCAGATTAATCGAGATAGGCACAGATTGTAAGGGCTTGTCGCAGATTAATCACAAATTAATCGAGATGTCAACAATATGCCCTTATTATTATTCCAATAATAAGGGCATATTATTACTGCTAATTTTAGTTTCCTGTTTTATGATTTAACGGTAGGTGTTTGATATATGCCGTAGAACAGTTGAAATTAAACACACACAAAAAAAAACACTATAGTGGCACGAACTTAGCACAGATTGATCATATCGACATAGCAGACACGGATCATAACATATTTTTTGTGCGACGCCATGTCAAGTAGATGATAACAAAATGGCATTGACACGAATTTGACGTATGGGTGCCAAATCTGTGCCAAATACCTTATGAATGTGACGAATCTGTACAAAAGATTCGTGCCAATTCCATTATTTTTGTAGTAAAAATAGGTATACTTCAAAATTATGATGATGTGAATTTGGTTAATTGAGAATAAATTTTCCATTTTCAACATTTTAACAGAATATTACATCTTTAAGCATTCGGGCTCCTAGATGACAATTATCTATTACGCCTAGAGTATGAGCTTTTTAGTAAATGTTAGCTTTTACTGACTGAAAAGATCTTAAAATAAAAAGGTGATGGTTGTTATAAAAAACCGACTGTTTGATTTAGTTTGGTTTGGCAGACAAGCAGTTGGGACTAATTGATAATAAAAGCCGCAATCTTTTCGCAGATGCTTCTCACTGTAACATCTCAAAAAAGATTTTTTACTTTTCAAAAAACTCTTAAAAATTATCATGTCAAACTTTCGGTTAGAAGCTTTTAAGGACTTTAAAATACTAGAAAAGCTAGAAGGTAAAGACTTATGTCTACCAAACATGTTCTAGGTGTATGTTTGGGATAACCAGCTGAAAATATACTTTTATAAGCTTTTTAGTAAATACTACAAGCTAAGTAATTTTTAGTTATTCGAAAAAGATCTTAAAATAAAAAGGTGGTAGTTGTAAAAAAACCCAACATATTTTATTTAAATCTAGTACTACGTATAACAAAGCTCTTGTTGGAAAAATGAGTTGAAATTGCAATAAATGGTCATTTTGGGGCAATTTTTGAGTGGGGTCCACTTCCGATTTGGATCGGGTCAAAGTGGTTTCGGATTGTCCTTGCTTAGGGCTACAATTTGATATATAGTACGCTCAAAACGGATAACGGATGAATGAGAAATTGATTCTCGAAGTTCACTCGTTGAAATGGAGAAAACTAGGAAAACGTGGGTTTCTAGTGTGGTTTTTTCCCACACCGAAAATCACAAGGGAGTTTGAGCCCTTTATAAAGGGAACTCCCCCCCCCCCCAAGGAGTTAAGCTTCCTAAAGGGAACGGCTCACGGCTCTTTCACGCGCGCAAGGGGGTGCGAATCAAATCCCGAAACCGAAGAACAAAAAGCGCGACTTGCGTGCGCGGGCAACCTGCACACACGAATGCCGTCCGAAAATCTATCTTCTAAAAATAACGTTTTATCTTTATGTTTGGTAGAAGGTAAAGACTAATGTCATGAGGTAAAAGCTAAAAGGTGAAGACTAATGTTTCGGACCCATACCCATTGGATCTCGGAACCGGATCGGGTAGACCCGACCTGTCTCACGAAAATCTAATTCTAATTTTTTTAATAAAAAAGGGGACCTCTTACTATCGAGTACTTTTCTGGCAACAGTATGGTACATGAACTGCAATTACTTGTCTATAATTACTCAACCAACAACAACACTTTAAACATGAAAGTTCCAGATCTACACATTCAAAATGTAACACATATGGTGCACTGATTTTGCCACGGGGGAATAAACCTAATTTCTTCAAAAACATAAGTTTAATGTAACAAATAAGGTGCACTGGGCAACTGCAAAAACATGAGTTTTATCCAAAAGCCTCTTTGAATCTGTGATAATAAAAACAACAAAAACCAAAATAACTCCATTTGACTTTTACAAAAACATAATTCCAAAAGCATAACTCCAGTAAGTTGATTTCACTTTGAAAAGAGCAATCATTCTATGCTTTACATTCTGCAAAAACATTCTAGCACTAAATTATGACTCTTCCGGTGCTCTACTACAACTCCATGTCTCTGCAAAATCTCCCTGCAAAAAACAAAACTGATATTGAAAAAACATAGAATAATTATTAACAATAAGTGTAATCTATCATTAAGTCAAACCCTGTTTTATGATATTCATTTTGTAAAAGAACTGAGAATGATCTTACACATCTAATTATGATAATCTGGCAGATTTGGATGACTTTTCGAATTGTTATTGTACATCCTCGTACTCAAGAATATCATATAAATTAAATTAGTCACCAAAATTAAGGTTTATAAGAGAAAGAATTATTAAAATAAGTATGATCTTACTTTTTTTATTCAATGATGGCAGCCAATCACCCGTTGTTATCAAAGCTTCCATTACATCTGGAAGCAAAGAAGATCGACTCTCATCAAGAACCCTTCCCCCAACGTTGAACGCAGATTCCGATGCCACTGTAGTTGCTGGAATTGCGAGAATATCACGAGCAATTTTGCTAAGGACAGGAAACTTTGGACTATTTGCCTTCCACCAAGCTAGTATGTCACACTTTTCCTTTCTTGGAAATACCGACTCGTCTAAATATGACTGCAATTCAGACTTCTGTTGAACAAATCCAAATGAAGAAGATTCCTGGTACCATTTATCAAATGCCGACATATCATCTCCATCTTCCATACATGCGTTCGAGGCTCCCTCACCAATATCATAATGAAGTAGTAGAGTGAAAACGTTCACCCCCATATTCAACAAACAGATCGGTCAAGGCATTGCGAAATTTATCCAAGTATCTTGATCCCTTTTCTCTATGAATAGAATTATTGTAATACTCCACAAAAGCCAACTTATACCGCGGATCAAGCACTATCGCAATAGCTAAAACTAGGCAACATTCATCCCAATATTTTTCATATTTAGCCCGCATAGGAACTGCCATGTTCTTAATGTAATCATGCTCACTATGTTCCCACTGCCTCAACTTAATACTAAGATTGCATATATCGGGGAAAAACACATTTGCTATGGGAAAGTTAGAACCACTAAAATGACACGTGGCATCATAAAATTTTGTCAAGCACCCGTGAACAACACCTGCAACTTTCCAATCACTTTCTAAAGGATTAAGCTTGTAAGTTCTATCAAGTTGTTCTAAGCGACAGAAAGCTTCTTTTAAAGGAAGGGCACTCTCAAGCAACAAGAATGTCGAGTTCTGAATGTTAGCTACATCTAAACCCACCCGTTTTTTATTTTTCAACTTACATTGGTTAATAGCGCTCTCAAACTTCTGGTTCGCTGAAGTTGATCTTTTCAAGTACTTTATAGTATCTCGAATTTTTTGAAGCAAACCACCCACAAGACTTAATCCATCTTGAAAAATTAAGTTTAAAATATGTGCACTACATCGAACATGAAAAAGATCACCTCCTAACAACACCAAAGATTTGTCCAGAAGCCATGATTTTAAAAACTTAATCATTGAATCATTGGCTGATGCATTATCAACAACAACAGAAGATATATATATATATATATATATATATATATAGAGAGAGAGAGAGAGAGAGAGAGAGAGAGAGAGAGTTGTTCGAGTTAGGCGGCCTGACCGGACAGCCCCGTGCGGCCTTCCCCGTTTGGGGGCCTTCCCGGTGGAATTGTTTGATGCAATTTTTTGAGCATGTTCCTCATTAAGTCTAGTTTATCTATATCAAATTTCAGCTCAAAATTCGATCGGGAAGGAAGCAAATAAATTCTTGAAACATACTGGGCATTCTGCGCATATATAAAGTGCAGTATGTTTCAAGAATTTATTTGACTGCCTTCCTGGTGGAATTTGGAGCTGAAATTTGGTATGAATAAACTAGACTTGATGAGGAACATGCTCAAAACATTTTATCAAAAAATTCCACCGGGAAGGCACTCAAAAGGGTAAGGCCAAACGGGCCTTCTGGTCAGGCCGGCCTGACTCGAACGGGACTCTCTCTCTCTCTCTCTCTCTCTCTCTCTCTCTATATATATATATATATATATATATATATATATATATATATATATATATATATATATATATATATATATATATATATCTACATACATACACACACACACATTAGTCTAATATACATACTTGTATTAGATTAGCTGCCGA